TCTGCAGTGTAATGGCTGATTATGACGCTGAGTAGTGAAATCCGCAAGGAAGCTTTCTCGCTGATGTCGTCTTATCTTTGTATGAGTCACCTGCTTGTGACGGTAGCTTGTTGACAAGATGTAGGCGCCTTGATCATGAATGTTTGCTTATGGCATAAGATCCCCTATTTCTCCCTCTTATTTTTCGTCCCGCAGGTTATTGTGGTTGAAGTTCAGGAAGTGATAGTTCAAATGACTGGTTTGTTGCTGCTGTTTCTAGCGATGATGACCAAATTCAGCTTCAGAGCTCACCTCTACAATAGGAAGAAGCAATGTCGTAAATTTCGGGTGACCCCGATTCGTAACCAGCAGACACAGGTTATAATGATGAATGGTATGAAAATGAAACTTAATCGCTAACGAGCTCAAAAGTGATGACCACTAAAGGGCGACGGGTATGACCGAACTCCCAACACAGAATCTAAGAGAGAAAGATTATATGATATAACTACACCGATTTAACTTTTATATGCTAAAATGACTTATCATTTAGAATCGAGTACCTCAGATTATCTGAGGTACAGCTTGAATTCGGATATTTAAGATGCAACTGAAGGAGTGATTAATCATTAAAATATTGAAGAACTCTGCTGAGTCAGTTACACAGATAAGTGGGTGCATGAGAACGGGACTGAGAACATCGATACAGTCGTCAGACACAATGCAAAAAGGAATGGCTAAAGATGGACGAGAAACACTTGTTCACACAACATATGCCAAGTTTGAAAGGGTAAAGATTGATGACTACTCTTCTTGATCTCTAGTACTGAGCAGTATTTATCCCTTGGTTGCATAAATGAGTTCTATGTTTCTCCGCTCCTATTCAGATCGTGTATGAAAAACAAGAGCACCTCGGTGGGTAGGATAATCCGACCTTAAGTTTAATCCTCCTGAATTGGTTCACTTCTCGTACTCAGATGGATGAAAGACGCGTGTGTGCCAATGAAAGATGGACAAACTGGACAGTTGGACACTTGATTTCCCTTCACTACTCCCTCTAACACCAACAGGTTACTCAAGTCTCCCTCTCTCTTTGATCACATTTCGCCATCTGTTTCAAATTGAGGTCAGCTCCTAGGTTGGATGTTCCTCCCTTAACTGTTCTTTCGTTGTCGGCTCTATCCCTCTGATGACGAAATTACGGCCACATACCAATGGTACAATTGTGTATCCACACTTTCCGCATACATTTTGCACTTTACCTTGGTCGTTACCATCCCCCCATTGAATGCGTCGCCTGAACGACGCATTCGGATTATCATCTGATCCAAAGCCTTGTAGGAACAAAATTAATGAGGGAATTAATGAAAAGGAAAAGCAAAATATCGGCACATTAGTAGTCCGAAATGACCTCTTCGCAACCGTACAACAAAATAAGAAAAGAACGGGGAAAAACTACATTCGGGCTTATAAAATAGTGGTGACGTTGCGAGTTTCACGTTGGTTTGTACACTATGATCGAACGAGTTTCGTTGGGAAATGTCTTATATTGTTGAGAATATGACTATCATTAAAAATCCGACTGCATATAGCGCCGTCCTTGTCATCTTTTGTACGTATCCTCATCTGGCCAATTTACCTCGTTCTTTTAATTGCTAAAGTCGTTTTGTCCCATAAATAGCTGTGTAATTCACTCACATTAGTATCGTACCAATTTAAAAATTTAAAAATGGCAAAGCAGACATCTTGTGGTAGTTGCTCCAAAGTTGTTGGACAGAGAGAAACTCAATTCTGTGATGAATGTACTAAAGCGACGCACGGACGATGAAGAAAGAAATTGTATTGCAAATTTTCTGGCAATCACCCGGATTCCTCCGCGAACCCGGAGAAACAGGTTTCTGATGCTTCAGATGCGCCCAGCGGTTCCTACCGCGGCTTGCACGTAGCCTTTACTAACGCCTGCAGTCTGATGAACAAACGCGATGAGCTGTGCTACTTTGTAACCCTTCAGCGGCCAGACGTATTAGGTCTTGCTGAGACATGGTTAAACTCAGACGTAACCGCCCAAGAAGTGGAAATCAACGGTTACTCGTGCTTCCACTGTGATAGATCATCAAATGATCGCGATGGCGTTCTGCTTTACACAGGGTCTTCCTTGTGTAGGAGAGTAGTGAGCACCTACGGAAGCGCTGATGGTCTATGTGAGCAGTTATGGTGTTCGTTTCACCTCAGACGCTGCGAGATACTCGTAGGTGTGGTATATCGCAGTCCACTGAGCCGTTGTTTGGACTCGTTGCCGCGTGTCCGCAACCATATGGGTCGATGATGCAGTGGTTTATTTTAATCATGGTGTACCCCAGTTCACAAGGCGGGGTTCTCAGATGCAAACTGCATTGTTCCAAAGATATGTGTTTCAGTAGAGCAACTTGGGGTGAACTAAGCGAATTACCACCCGAGATGCGACAATCCGTCGAAAGCGACGTGAAGTATAGCATATCTCCTCTTGCATGAATAAGTAGACGATCAGCAACGAATATTAGGACGCCAAGAAGGATGGTTGCTATGCCTATCAGCGAATGAACAATTCATTCGCATGGGAACGAGTTGATGCGATTCGCAGGCAACATGGATGAGTTCACAGGTGGAGATAGTAGAAAAATCGATGGCGAATACCAATTATTGAGCGACTTCGTGCTACATACCAAGACCCATTCAGTCAAGACGTGTGCAAATCAGTGAACGTTGGTGAACATCGCATGCGCGTATATCGAACGATTGGCATCCAGAAGACAAGGTAAAGGGTTTAGCAGAAAGATTTCATCAAAGAGCAGAAGCATATCCTTATAAGAATATGCATTTACGCTTTCCTAGTAGGAATGACCAACTGCAGCAAACCTGCTCTAGGATTCGGAAGAGCCGTGATGCATGACGTTAATAGCAGTGACTGTGGAATGAAAAGCATGAATTCAACATAGAAATCAACAAAACGAAACTAGAGGATAAGTCAGAAAGGGAAACCACGAGTAAACTGGAAACAAACCACAGGAAGTGGTAAGCAGTGGAAGGATGGATATAAAATCGATGCTGACAGAAAAAGTATCGCGGGACAAGGAAGAGAGCGGGATGTTTTAAAAACCACTAAGCAACAGGATGCGGTGTTCCGAGATGTTGTGGTCTCGGTTGGCGCTTCCAAACTCCCAGGTTGGAGTCCCCAAGAAAATGGACACGTTTGGTTGGGGACGCTTGTTGACATGCGAAAAAGTCGGCCACAATGGCTTTGTGCTGTGAAAACCATTGTCTCCCTCCTCTGGCGTAGCTTTCCCATCCAGCCACGATCCCAATCACGATGCAAAATAAAAACATTGAACAATACCCGTTGTTTTTAATAAGGTGTTATTCCCCTCTAACCAACGAAGGTAATGATTGAAAGCGTTGCTTACAAACCTTCTTGGGAGTTCTGTTCTCTCAAATTAGGATTCTCTCTCGATAGGTGCTAAAAACGGTAACATAAGGCCAGTGGGACAGACGCTTTAGTCTGTGGTAAGATCTGGTGCATATTCCAAAGAGACTAAATGGGAATCAGAGAGTACTCACTCAGATTCTGCTTGACATATTGCTGACACAGTCTCATCGTTACTGACAAGAAGCTCGCCGATGCGGTGGAACCCAAGACTTTATGAGTGTCGACTGCAGTGGACGTGTGAACGAGTTGCGGACCGAGGGGAACGTTAGCCAGATAAATGAGACAAGAATCAGCCACTTCGGAGAACAGGGAAAACACAGCTTGCACAATTTCGGAGGAATTGTGACATTGCTAAGAAAAAGAAAATAAGGTTGTGGGGTAACGGTCGAATTGCATGTTCCAACCTCACATGCGTCAGATGAAATGCGCAATGCAGACGATTCCAGAATGAATGAAACGGCCATACAGTGTTCATCCCGGTGTGTAATGATTGTCTGACCTAGGCTAGATGTAATAAATTTTTACTCATCCGATTCGAACTTCTATATCATTCTGTTGTAAATGTTGGTATGCCTGAGTATGGATTGGCCGCTCAAAAATCTACAAATGCACATGCAAGAGAACCATCTTAGCGAAAGCTGAAATTGTCCACAAAGAGAACGAATCCGGTAAATCAACTCGGTAAACACAAGGCAGTTAGGGGTCCGCAGACCAACTATTCAGATGAAATCACCACATGATAGGCTCACAAAAATACCGACTTGCGAAACAGAATGATTTCATGTGGAGATAAACGCAAAGGCAAGAAAACATGCAGAATTAGAACCATGCACAATGTTATCCACTCGCAAGAATGCACTTCATGGCCGATCTTGTACGTATATATACTAACCAGGTAGAGAGCAAGGATAACGACTAGAACTCGAGGCCATTGGGATGTTGGCTGAGATATCTAGACCTACGCCACCGAGTCGAGGCACGCAAACGCTTGTCAGAACGGTTAACAGGTTTTGTTGTAGCACTTGTTGTGTGGATGGATTGTGACACACAATCACAATTGGGACTGCAATTCCCATTGAAGTGAACCTCTTTCGATTCGGTTAAGGGGACCTCAGAGTGTCGGGTACACGTTGAGAAAAGCAGCGCAAATAAAGGGAATAACCGGAGTGAATAAACCCAGTGCGTACCAGCATGAGGACCTGTGCCCCACTCTCCAGAGCAGGATAGAGTGCACTGGTCCAAGCCAATGAGATCAGGTCGGATTGTGTTTTGCCGTGAGCCGACAGCCAACCGATAGCCCGAGCCAGGCCTCGTAGGCTAGCTAAACATCGAACTAGGTCATCTGCCGCAAGACTGTTCACTGTCGACCGGGATTGAGTGAACTGGGCCAACACGCGGTGTTGGTGTTCTCGAAGACCATGTAGAAGCTGGAAAAAGAAAAGGGAATGATAGGCCGCGTGTTGATAACAAGGGAAGTGAGTCGTGCTATTCAAATGATGTGCTAGGCCTTTGCGAGAATACAGTGTCACCACTTTCCGTGACATTAAAAGATGCGATACACGTGCAACACAATGGTCTTTTACGAAAAGATTTGTGGGTTGAACATCAACAATCACCCATAAAGATAGATAATAACTGTTAAAAAATCGAACCGCTGTGGCTCCAAAGACTAAACTTGGAGCTGTTTATGATTAAAAATCATTCATCGACTAACATAAACTAAGTACTATCAACCGGGATTCCAAGAATCGTCACCGTATAACCTAAGAAATAAAAACTATGGGATAAAGTAACTTTGTTGCCGCACACGTCTGCGGAGCAAAAACTTTACACTTAAATTTTCTATGCTATGGAGCCGACGGCCTCAGACTATCAGTAGCTCATCTTCGATTCGGACATTTAGTATGCAACTAAACTGTTAAACATATTAAAGAATTGTTTTGCGTCAGTTGCATGGATTAATGGGTGTAGGAGAACGGGCAAGATAATGTCTGAACGCTTGCAATATTCGCAATAAGAAAATACTGTTGAAGAGAAAAAATTGTCGATACATGTGTCCACCTTGTATTTGTACCAGGAGTTCTTTTCTTGCTAGGTAAATTAGCCCTACATTTCATTCGTTCCACCTACATTATCACATTCTTCTATCTTACTCAAACTGATAACTCCCCGATGGTCTGCGAAAAGACGGGCACATCAATAGATTAGTAAAATAAGATCTACCTCTGACTTCTTCTCTCATACACATTCTCCTTGTGAACAACGAGGCGCAGCTGTGCCCACGGACTCCGCGGATTTTGAATCACCGCGTGCTGGATTCTACTTTTGCTTCCGATTACTGTGTTATACGTGTTTTTTCTGTGTGAGTTGAGCATCAATATTTTTTTCGGTGTATTTTGCAATCTGTACAAATTTGGTGGATATTCTCTGGCTAATTCCGGAGATCTCATTGATTGGCCCAACTGCCGTCTGTATCCACCATCGAGAATTTGATCTACCTTGTGATGCCGCCTCTAGGTACTTGTGATTCGTGTCTGACAGTTGCTGGAGATAAGGCCCATGCACTTCGGTGCTTCGGTTGCGATTCTTTGTTCTATATTTCGTGAATTGGCTTATCCGTCGACGTCTTTCTAAAATCTCTCAACATCCGACATCAGATTTTCCATGTTAAATGGCATACATGTCGCGGTGCAAGACAACAGAATACACAGAGACCACCAACGACTACAGGAAAACCTCTCTTACAGGCAAAAACACACCGTACACCACGTGGGGTCAAACGCCCTCGTGAAAGTACCTCTGTCAACTCGCCTTCCCTTGCCACTCCACGATCTGCACCATCACCAGCGTCTTCGACCCCCGGCCGAGTCTCAGGTTCAATGTTCCCCAAGGAGTAAAGACAGACTCAGAATCTCCGAAATGCCGCTTCACTGATCAGTCCGTGAATTTCTCAGAGTCTCTGTGAACTTCTGAACCCCGAGGAACCATGGACCACTCTAAAGTGCAAGGGGCCACATAACCGTGTTCAGGCGCCACCATGCTGGTAAACAACAACCCAAACCGATAAGCGGTTCTATTCCTGTTCCCGCAGGTTTATCATCGATTTCGCTGAGACGTCATAACCTCATGATCTTCCACGTACCAGAGTCAAAAGATGAAAACCATCAGATAGGTTATGATAACGAAGTCGAATTCCCCCAGAGGCACATCGATAGACTCTTGGATGTAGGTGAAGACAATATGACGATTAAACAGATAGTCCGACTTGACCAGAAAACTAACCAGTCATGTCCACCTCTGAGAATCATATTTGTCAATCACAATATGCCACAGCTCATACTGTCTCGTTTGTCAAGGCTGAAAGGCATACAGATTCACATCTGCAGGGACTTGGAACCCGGAGATAGATCGTTTGCAGACTGCGGTCCTTGAGCTCAAACACCGTACAGAAGATGAGGCTGAATAACACATTATAAATTTTTCGGTGATCAAGAAGGGTGTACGCACCCGCGTCAACGGGCTGCTCAACCATCAAGCACCTCTCGCGGTACCTCCAGGACCTCAGTGTGACATTCGCCAACATGTACAGCCTAATGAACAAACGTGACGAACTGTGCCGCTTCACTGTCTCGGAACGGCTGCATGTCTTAGGAATTGCAGACTTGGTTGAACTCCGACGTCACACCCTCGGAAGTCGCCTTGTCAGGATACTCTTGTTTCCGATGCGACTGAAAAACAAAAGCACACGGTGCTGTTTTGTTGTACATCAAATCGTCACTATCTGGCAAACTTCTCAGCGCCTATAGGAGCGATATTGTCCACTGATTGGTTGGCACACAAAGACGTACATGCGCTCCTAAGCAGCAGCGTTTCCGGCTGAATATAGCAGTGGATGGATTTGGCACGACCAATGATCGTGTCAAAGCCGACATTCAACTATTAGAAGACGAACTTCAACCGGCTCATCCAATCCGCAAGTCTGACTGATTGGTCACTACCACAGGATGCGTCACTTAAAGCCTGTTGGTCATTAGTGAATGGGAAGCTTAACTCGCAGTGTACTCGGAGTGTATTCAAAAGTCGGACCTATCAAATCGCATTGGTTTGATAAGGAAAATAAACAGTTAGTGCGACGGCGTCTCAAACTTTGGGAAAGACAAATCATATTGGGTTGTGATGAAGATTACACTGTGTACAAGAAATAGCGCAACTTATGTAACGCCGCAAAGATCAAAAAATGCCGACAACTGTCGGCAGCCTCGGTCACAAACGTCCCCAAGACAATATTCGCCAACTTGAAACGTCAACTGAAACCTCGATGGTGCAAAGCCCCCTCGGATCATGCGAACATCACCCACTAATACTTAAGTCTTTTGAATGTCATCTAACCAGCTGTGAGAAACCTATACAATAAATCACTCTCTGAATGATCTGTCCCCAACAACTGGAAATGCCTGATAGTGAAACCGCTTCTCAAGGCTGGTGATCCGAGTAAAGTAGAGAAAGATGGACCGATCTGTTTGTCTTCGATATTGGCCAACGTTCTCGAGAAGGTTGTGAAAAGTGTCTGCTGTTGTTCTTCGAATCGACGGACGCATTGACGTTAGGGTAACACGGCTTCAGCAACTTGATGTATGCAAAACACCAGGGGGTACGAGCTCTCAACGAACGGAAGCATATTGACGTGGTATACATCGACTTTAGTAAGGCGCCTGACAGAGTGAACCACGAGGTACGTCTTCGTAAACTGAGAACCTACGGAATCGGTGGCACGCTACTTCACTGGTTACACGAGTTTAGTGTGTGACGGAAGTTTAGAGTACAGGTCAATGATTACCTGACAGACCGGTTCCCATCGACCAGTGGCGTGCCTCAGGGAACTGTGTTTGGGCCATTTATTTCTCATTCATATCAACGATCGTACGCAGCAACTCCAGTCACTATGTACCCTGTTGCAGACGAGTTAAAAAGTTGGAGAATCATTGAGAACCAGGACGACTGCGCTCGCATCCAGCATGACTGTCAACGTGGTCAACTGAAACACAACTAGCTCTTAACGCAAGCAAGTCGGAATTCATCAGTATCACCAGACGTCCAGCCACTCGATCATACACCTTGGACGGCCAGTTGCTCCACCCTAAGACTTAGGAGTGCTCGCGCGACATGATATGAGATCACTAGAAGATACAGAGCAATTGTACCGTGCGGGACTTCGTATGCTCTGGGCATTATGACGCAGTTTCTCCACATGGTCCGAAGAAACCGTCCCTCGCCTATTCACCTCGCTCATTAGATCAATCCTTGAATACGGCGCCTTAACTTGCCATCCGATAACCCAGTAGGAAACTGAAAAGCTGGGGAAAATACAGCACATCGCAACTAGAATGATACCCAGTCTACGGAAGCTTTTGTATGAAAACGTCGTGAAAGGCTCGGACTCTACACACTATCCTAACGTCGAGTAAGAATCAACCTAATTATGACCCAAGATGTACTACACTTGAATCACTTCCCCATATTACGACCAACATTTGACCTGCGCGAACTCTCGAGGACACTGCTAGAAACTCAGGGTCCCCTGCATGAACAAAGTATCACATCACATCATTAAAGAGGGAGTGAAATCGTTGTGCGCCCGATTTGTGTTCCTCAAGTACCGGAAAGCTGGCCAGTCAAACCACATTGGTTAGACAAGGAGTACAGCAAGCTGGCCCAACGACACGCATACTACGGAACAAATTCGTGTTATCTGACCCCGACGAGGATTGCAAGGCGTAATAGGTACAGCAAAATCTCTGCAACAACGCGAAAACAAGAAAACGCAGAAGCTTCGAAGAGGAGCTTGCAGCCGCCGCAAAAACTGCTCCCAAGAGGATCTTTGCATACGTGAAACGGCGCCTGAGGCCTGTAGCAAATGTCCCAGTGTTAGAAGGCTCCGATGGACAGCCCCTAACCTCGAGTACAGATCGTGCGTCCGCATTGGCGACGCACTTTGCCTCCGCATTTGCAAGTGACCAGGTGTCTGTAACGAGTTCGACGAGTACCGCACCAGCCGAACTTAACAGCCTGGACTGCAATATTGAGGATGTGCGCAAGCTTCTAGCAAACCTTGACGGGACAAAGCCTGCTGGGCCAGATGGGATACACCCATTGATCCTCAAGTCCTTATCGGCCATCATCGCGCCTTCTGTAACTGAACTGTTTAACAGATCCCTATTCACTGGACTGTTACCAGACGACTGGAAATGCTCAGTCGTAAAGCCTATACCGAAAGGTGGTAACCCAAGTAAGGTGGATAACTACCGGCCGATCTGCCTGACCGCTATTTTGGCAAAGACGCTCGAGAAGATCGTGAAGAAGAACCTTCTGCAGCTTCTCGAGTCGAAAAGCCTGTTGACCTCTGCACAGCATGGTTTCATGAAAGGTC